GAGGAGCCAGAGAAAAACAAAACACGAGGAGCCAGAGAAAAAACAAAGCACGAGGAGCCAGAGAAGGGGACACGAGGAGCCAGAGAAGGGGACACGAGGAGCCAGAGAAGGAAACACGAGGAGCCAGAGAAGGAAGCATGAGGAGCCAGAGAAAAACAAAGCACGAGGAGCCAGAGAAAACAGGACACGAGGAGAGAACGAGGACACGAGGAGCCAAAGAGAACGAGGAGAAAAAAGGACACGAGGGATTTGGACGATCAAGGGATCGTCCCTAAGAGTCACTGTTCCGGCGGGCGGCCGGGAGGCTGTCCATCAGACCGGGCCAGGTCAGGGGGGCGGCCGGGAGGCCGTCCAAAACACAGAACCAGAGGAAACACTGATTGCAACGAGGAGACCTGGGGAGCTGCAGCGGGCGGCGTGGAAGCCTGGAGAGCTGCAGCATGCGGCGTGGAAGCCTGGAGAGCTGCAGCAGACGGCGTGGGAGCCTGGAGGGCTGCAGCAGACGGCGTGGAAGCCTGGAGGGCTGCAGGAGACGGCATGGGAGCCTGGGAGACTGCAGCAGACGATATGGGAGCCTGGGAGGCTGCAGCGGACGGCATGGGAGCCTGGGAGGTTGCAGCGGACGGCATGGGAGCCTGGGAGACTGCAGCAGGCGGCGTGGGAGCCTGGAGGGCTGCAGCAGGCGGCGTGGGAGCCTGGAGGGCTGCAGCAGACGGCGTGGGAGCCTGGAGGACTGAAGCAGACGGCGTGGGAGCCTGGAGGGCTGTAGCAGACGGCGTGGGAGCCTGGGAGACTGCAGCGGACGGCATGGGAGCCTGGGAGGCTGCAGCGGACGGCATGGGAGCCTGGGAGGCTGCAGCGGACGGCATGGGAGCCTGGGAGGCTGCAGCGGACGGCGTGGAAGCCTGGGAGACTGCAGCAGGAGACGAGGGAACCTGAGAGACTGCAGCAGGAGATGAGGGAACCTGAGAGACTGCAGCAGGAGACGAGGGAACCTGGGAGACTGCAGCAGGAGA